TTTTTCTCGGGTAGACCAGAGATGAGCAATTACTTGTCCTCACAAAAATGAGAGTTTACAGAGAGTTCTCCGCCTGTTCCTCAAAACGCTAACCTCTACGATACAGTACAAGGTGACCATCAACTCATTTTTCACTTGCTGTGTGTAGAATGAAGCAGTTGGTTGCTCGTGAGGAGTCTAAGGAAGGAACTACTTGGACAGCTTATAATCTAAGTGAAAATCAGCAGCAAGAATATGAATGAAAAAAGCAAAAATTGAACATACTGCATTTTTTGAACAGGCAAAGCATTATTTTGCCCATATTAATTATACAATGTACATTTTGTACATTATAATTCTATATAAAGTGTACATATGATTACACATTTCTCTGAAGAGGTAACAAATGGAGCCCCTCCCATATGTTTGTTTGACCCACAAAACCCCACAGACAACATTGCTTAATTGAAGACCCAGTAAAACTGCAGCCTTATCTTTCTACCTTCAACATCAGAGACAGAGCTCTGACCTTGGAGGAAGAAAGGTCCTGATCTTGGAACCCTACCCAGACAAGTACTTTGTGGATTGAGATTCATGTTCTGAGCCCTAAGGTGTTTCTGGTTTAGTCACATATTCCATCCTGGGGTTGGGTAGCTCTCCACAGAAGGTATTGAATGCTGGTTTTTTTGGTTAGAGCTGATTTTTATTTAGCTGGAGAGGCCCTTGAGTCTCCAGAGCACCAAGCAGAGGAGGAATGACATATTTAACGTTTCTGAGGGCCAGCCAGGATTGGAAAAGCATACATTTGTTACAGTGCACATTTCATAATATATATTTAACAATTGTGCATTAGAGAGAGAAAATATTAAAAGCTGGCACTTCTTGTTCAGGTATTAAGTTAGCCAATGTTGGTAAGGCTAAGGCAATGGGAATGCTCTAAACTAGAGAAAATGGAGGGGGGGATTTTAAAATAAAAGGGCATTAAAAAAAATTAATGCAATTAACTCAATACAGGTAGTCCTCGACTTATGACCATTCGTTTAGTGACTGCTCCAAGTTACAATGTAGCTGAAAAGTGACTTAGAACCAGTCCTCGCATTTACGAGTGTTGCAGTGTCCTCATGGTCATGTACTCAAATTCAGGTGCTTGGCAAAAGGCATGTATTTACGATGGTTGCAGTGTCCCAGGGTCACGTCATTACTGTTTGCGACCTCCCCAGCTATCTTCCAATAAACAAATTCAATGGGGAACTGTGTGATTTGCTTAACAACTGCATGATTCACTTGAGATTGTAAAATCTGGTGCCACAAATAAGATTGTAAAATCTGGTGCAGTCATGTGATGCTTCGCTTAACGACCGCACTCCTTAACAACAAATTTTCCAGTCCCTATTGTGGTTGTTAAGTTAAAGCCTACCTGGAATTGAACTACTTTTATAATTTTTAAAATATAATTGTCCATTTAAAAAAGCACTTGTCAGTTTTATAGACATTTTTCAAAAAATTGGAGTGCAGATTTGGGTGAGATTCACCAAATAAGTTAACTCTGTTTTGCCTTGTTCCTCCACTTTAGTTTCTCGGATTTCTGTTTTTTTTTTTTTTTAAGTTACATCTTTTGCTGGATATTTAACATCCTTTATGAATTAGATCTCACATTGTTTAAAACCTACTGTACATGCATTCAACTTTTTTAGGAAAAGAAAGATTTTAAAAACAACATAATAAATAAAACACACAACAAAGGGTAAGGTGACCCACATGGATGAATCTGAAAACTTTTCAGTATTCCCATTAGAACCTAGTGATGGATGAGTGATTGCTCAGAACAGGACATTTCTGGTAATAGGCCTGAAAGGAAACTGCTTTTAAAGTTCAGTGTTTAAAATGTCATTTAGTTATTCCATAATTTACACACATACACACACACACACACAATATTAAGTCCATGTGTCTTCAGTGACTTCTGTGTCATGCCTCAGTGATCTTTTGTTCTTACTAATGATAATGACAGTGAGAAGGAAACAGGAATGAAGGCATGTCCTTACTATATTTTAAGACAAGACACATGAAATGGTAAGTGATGATCCTGAAAAATAAAGATTATAGCAGTAGAACATAAAAAAACCCAGAATGACAGCCCCTGGGGAGATAAAAAAGAACAAGGCATAATAGCCAGAATAATGATTTGTTTAATGTTCTCTATTTCCATTTAATAATTTTAATACATAATAAACTTCAAGAAATATGAATTGTCAGGAGTCCAAGACTTTAGCAATTGCTAGGTGCTTTGGGAATTTTGACGAGTGTTCCAACAAAATGGCTATCATGGGGACATAACCAGACACAAAGCCCTAGAGAACCAAAATGCTTCTTGCCATTCTCAATAGTCTCTTTGTCAAAATGCTTTGCACTAGCCTGCATACTTCCAACATTAATATTGGGACGCAGCAGCCTATCTTTATTTTCTAGCAAAGTTTTGGGGCCCAGGAATGTTCCTGAAATAAAAATGATGATGTTCATGATGGCCACTTTGCTTCTCACTTCTTAAAATCATTTTTAAAATATAAAACATCAGATCAGAGCCTTGTAAATCTTAACATAGGTGCCTTGGGGAAAACTCCCCAATTTCACAATAGGGAACTCCAGCCATATTGCACATGTATGCATATATGCACACACACACACACACACACGTCCTTACATCACAGGCAGGAACACCAACTTGCTATCTGTTCTCTAGCCTTAATTTGCTTCTTTGTATGGCAACCATTCACATCTTACCAACCTGCCAATTTCAGATATCATGGCAACCCTAATCACATACAGCACATCGTTATTCTTTTAGCATAAATTACAGGATATTTCACTTGCTTCTGTGCTTTCATTTCCCAACTGCTCAAGACTCAGCTTCATAAAGTCACTCACCTCTCCCCTTAAGGCAGAGCATTAGCCTTAACTATGGTTACGGAGTCACACACACTACAAACTGCAACCCTCGTTTAAAAATCATCTTCAAACTCTGGTTTTCCAACTGTGTTCGACAAATTCTCTCTATTCTCCCTCAGTCGTACACATTTAGAAGAAACTTGAAGTGGAACAGTAATAGCCCTGTAGTACTTTGCTAGGAAGATTACAGCAAAGAACAGGGATAAAAAATCGAACTAATCAGTGTATCTACCAATATAGTTTCACTGTCCATAAGGAGCCATGAAGAATATGCCTAAGGAAACTGGCAATTTACCATGTTTGCCAGAACTTGTTTTTGCAAATTTCTCTTATGGCATAAAGGTAATGTGTATATATGTGATTCTGTACAGAATTCTGAAATCCAAGTGTTTGATATAATGAAAACTTCATAGTATTATAAAAAATTAATCTCTTTATTAACCAAAATTAAACATTAAAGTCAAAAGATTCACAAGTTTACTATCACACATAGTTTATGTTCAGTCCTGGCTCTTCCAGGGTGCTGCCGCCAATTCCTATGCTCTTCTGCTTACATTCATAGTTATTATTCTGTCAGTACTATCAAATTCTCTGATATTTCTCAAAACAATTTGTCTCCGATTTAGAATTCTGGACCTCTCCATTTATTTTATTGAATACATATTTTAGTACATATTTAGTAATGATTAGCTAAGAATCCAGATTCATTTAGACAAAAGCAACATAAGGCCTGCATGTTTTCTAATAAAGCAGATTGAGCTGTAGGACCAGCTTTAAAGCAAGTAAGAATTTTAGCAAGTATAGTGTAAAGTTCACAAATCAAAGAAAAACTTGCAATGGAATAGCCAACAGTTGGGTAAACTATTTTGTTTCACATATAAGGCACCTTTGCTCTAAAACAAGGAACACCACAGCAAGGGTAAATAGGCTGAAAACTCTGCACCTTTTCTCTTTTCCCCTCAAATCCATGCATGAGTGTCCATAAAGAGGGAGTCTCCAAATGCACCCTTCATTTTGAAGTAGTGACTCTTCTTAAATTTAGTAATATTTCTGTAATTGAATTGGGTTGTAAATTAGAGGTTGTACTCAACTCCCATTCTTGTAAGATGGTTTAACCCTGTGGCTAAAAGGTTGATTTAGAAAATGAAGGTCTAGGCAAGCCACTGTGTAGTACAGATAAGAATACTGATTTATCACATAAGTTGGTTTTAACAGATAAATAAGAATGTGTGTGAAGCACACTGAATATTTTAAAACACTATATAATTGGTAAGTATTTTTGTCAGGTGTGGGAGCCTGGCATTCTCGTCTTGCCAGCAGCAAGAAAGTTAAGGATAAATATTGTAATATCTGTTTCTTAAACAAAATTAACTTAACCTCAGTGAAATAAATACTCACATTTATAGGTGAATGTAAAATACCAGGACGTCAAATCATGGAACAAACGTGGTGTCCTCTAAAAGCTGTTTCCATTTCCAGGACACAGTTAAGATTTTTGTTCTCTGTGCCATTTTATTTTAATTCAACTGCAGCTTCTTTCCTGAACACCCTTTATATACTCTATCATAAAAAGAGCCATTTACACTGTACATAAAAATATTTTCTGTAGGAGAAAAGTTACCAAAAATAATGCCAAATCGTATGCACATTTTTCTTTAAAATATAAGTGGAATTTGATTTACTTTTGGATATTGCCTGTTCTAATATGGCTGTATAGTAATGAAAAGGAGAAGGAATAGGGGACAGACCATCAATAACATAATATTTCAAGAATGCAGTACAAATGAAATAAAGCACTTGAACTTAACCAATGTCAAGGATCAAAAGAAATGCTATTTTACATATTACGTAATACTTATCAGAATACAGACTCCAATGACCTTGAAACCTGTGGCTTGCCTTTTCCCTTTCTGTCTTTCTCATTCTTGGAACATATTTTGCTACTGGCAGAAGATGCTGTCAAGCAAAACACTGAAAAATTGGTATCATTTCATAGCCAGTAAGCGCAGCACTGATACTAAATATTTTATGATTTGGTTTCACAAGTTCTTTTTCTCTCTTCTCCTTCCTTGCAGGTTTGATTGTTGCAACACTGGCAATATGCTGGCTGCCGAATCAAGTTCGAAGGATCATGATGGCTGCTAGGCCCAAGCGAGACTGGACCATCTCCTATTTCAGGGCATATATTATCCTTCTCCCCATAGCAGATATCTTCTTTTACCTTAGTTCTGTGGTGAACCCGCTCCTATACAACGTTTCCTCCCAGAACTTCCGGAAGGTATTTCTTCAAGTCCTTCGCTGTCGCCTGTCATTAGAACATGCCAACAAACAGAAGTACTTGGCAACTAGTTTAAACTCTGTAGCCAACAGCAACCATTCCAAACGCCCATTGATCTTCATATCATCCAGGCGGAAGTCTTCCACTAAGACGGCTCAGAAGGTTTCCTTAAATATTCTTCAGAATGAGGCTGAGATTGACTCTAGTTTACCAAAACTGAGTCCCGAGTCATTGGAGCTCAATGTGAAAACAATGCCTCCGGAGACCAGCACAGATCCAAGCCTTGTTAACCAGAATGGCATTTGTGAACATGAGCAGTAAATACTCATAAAGAAAAGTTATAGGATACACAATATGCTAACGGGGGAAGCAATAAAGGAAAACAAAACAAAACAAAACAAAAAAGGTTATACAGCCAACAAGTTGTACCCTTCAAGTTCAAGTGCTAATTTCAATAGACTACTTTCCAATACATGATAGTGCTTTTATACGGATGACTGTTGATTTTTTTTCTATGTTTCATTTTGTTTTAAAGTGCATACTGGAAAATCAGACAACTAGATCTATTCAGTAAATAATGAAGTTGTTGAGACTTTTTCAGATAAAACTCCTCTTTTCTTTTGGGAAAGCAAACAACAACATTACAATGGAAACCAGCTGTGCCTTTGAAAGAAGCGACACAGGAATAATGATGCCAACAAAGAAATCTTCCCTCAGAGTTTAGCAATGTGCGGGTGATAAAAATGGCAAGCTAGAGAGCAGCATGGTTGTTAATACTCCTGCCCTAGGCATGGTGCCAGAGTTTCCCCGCTTCTTTGGCCTGGGCCCATTACAAAGTGGAGTATTGCAACAGCTTATACAAACAGAGTTTATCTTCCCTGGAGTACAGAAAGTCTGGTATCCAGCAGAGGTCATGAGGCAAGCTGCAGAGGATGCACAGGACTTGCGATACAGGATCCCTGTGACACAGAACAAAAGTTGATTTTAGTCTAATATGAACAAATATGCTTTCTACTGTCTATTAGCACTTTCTATCTGAAGGGACTGTCAAACGTTCACATGACGACTCTGACTGTCAGTGCATGCCAGGAGATTTAGCCTACTATTACTTATTGTGCTTAAATAGGAAAAATAAAGCTTAAGTAAAATGGCATTACTCTTAAAAGCTGCCATCCCCTCCAACCCCCATAAAGCTGAGAAAATTGGAGGGGAAAATGTGTGTTGTCACAGGGCACTTAAAACTCTTTAAAGGTTTAAGATATGAAAATTTAATTTGACACAATGGAAAAAGTGTTGCATGATTTTTAAAAGGATCCATGGCTTGTTTTACATTTTAGATTTTCTTCAGTATTTCTGTTTAAAAAAACAAACAAACAAAAAACCTAAGCTGTGAAAAAGCTCATGGGGAAACACAGCAGAACACTGTACATTGCACTGGAAGAAAAGATTAGAAAAATCTCTTTCTTATAACTATGCTATCACCATATGAAGCGGGATACACTCTTATTAAATATATATTTTGAAGGTTCGTTTTAAAAGTTCTGGTGGTTATAAAATGAACTGTACTTCAATGCACACACATATAGAAACATACACAAAGTGAACTGTGGTTATATTCTGCACCCAGCTGTCATATGACCTCAAAATTTCTTCTTTCATGTGATCTGACAGAAATTCAGCTTTGGGCTGGATACATAAATAATACCGCTATCAAACACTAACATTATATGCTTCACATTCTCAATTTGCTTTGGGGATTTCTGGAAGTAAGCTTCATAGTTAATTTAAAACAATTCTTTCCTTTTTAGGTAAAACCTATGTTGATCATGCTCTCTGTACTGGGGAGAGAATTAAACATGGATGAAACATAAAAAATGCATTTGCTATTTTCAGGGAATTAAGATAAATAAATCTTTTCAAAAATATACTGTATGTTCAAGCAAAAATGTACAGAACAGTAGCTTGTATTGATATTGTGTTGATAGTCATTTCTCACTGATATACCTTTGGTGATATGTAACGATTTAACTGTCTCCTATCTAATCCACTATTCACTGCTGAGTACCATTTTAGGGCTAGAAAAACATAAATGTTTTATCTGAGATGACCATACATTTGATTAGAAACTGCATTAGGAATACCAATAAAGGTACTTATATGCAAATATTTGCAATATTAATAATTAGGAATTTGCAAACTGAGGCAGTTAATCTCTGGAATATTGCATTCCCCAGCCGCACTCTTGAATGAGCCAGTCCAAGCATTGGGGTGATTCAGCTTACCCTGTTCTGGGAGAAAACAGAATGTTGCACAGATAACCACTGAATTTTGCAAATAAAAACGGGTTCCTTACCTGTAACTGAACTTCTGTGAATAGTCATCTGTGAATCCATGCACATGGATTACGTGCCTTTTCAAGACCTTTTTAGAATATTCTACAGCTTACAGAATTTCTTGGTGGGAGCCCCACATCTCATACATAGCCCATTTGATTAGACATGGCTCCCACTGAACCCTTCAATTGCTGAGACTGATACAATGAATCCAGAGAAATCCTGAGGTCAACCAGCACCTTGTGGTGTTGGGGGGCAGGTTGTGTGAATTCACAGATGATTACTCAGGTTACTGATAAGTAAACAGTTTTTCCTCAATTTGGTCTCTCTAATTCACACGCATCTATCTGGAAAGGGTTTGGTGCTTCAAAGATGACTAAAGAAAAGACTATTCTTTCATTTTTCTGAGAACAGAGTTCCAGGCAATAACTCTGGATCAAAGTAAAAATCTTATCTAGAGGAACCACAGAACTGGAGAGGGCATGTTTGCTTAGCTAGCTTGTAACAAAGACTGGTAACTGCAGCAATTGGAAAAATGTTGAGGAGGAAGACTCAGCTGAGCCCATTGAAAGCTCTTTGAACACTGATGGAATGGTGTGATTTCACACTCAGCATGGAAGGGTCGGGGGAAATGGAAGGCATTTCCATTCCTAAATGGAATGCAGAGACAGACCTTCAGAAAAATGATACTGATATCTGAGTGAAGGATGTCTGTTAAGAATTAAAAAAAAACAGATTTCAATGTTAAGTAAAAACTTTGTTCCCTTGCCTGCTGAGCTAAAATAACTTCTATTATGAAGGTATGTGTCAGAAGAGGAGATCTATTTCTTATTTATTAATTTGATTCCTAAGGCTGCCCAAGTGCAAAGTGATTCAAGGTGGCATGCAAAGTGGCTTAAAAAGATATCAGCATAACAATAGAAGAAACCAAAATAATAACATGTCAAAATGTGCAGACAAAACTCTCAGTCGCACTATACTCCATCACAAAACACCCCAGCACAGTGGCTACCAGAACAGCCAAGGTTTTATAGGTTTCCTAAATGACAGCTGGGCCAGATCCATGCAGACCTCAGGTTTTATGCTGTATTAGAAGGCAGGTATTGACAGAAAAAACATGACCCACAAGATGACATGTTATACATGGGACCCAGAGCATGCCAACCCTATTCACCTTGTAGGATGGGCAGTAACAACTGAAGTAAGGAGGTTGGAATATGCCCAGTCCTTAAGCCATGAAGGGATTTACAGATCTCTTGAACTGTACCTGGAAGCCAACTAGCAACCAGTGTAGCTCATGATATGAATGGTTCAAACATCAGGATGAGAGAGACAAGGAAAGTTTCCACACAGATATTAGAGGAGATAGTAGCCCTTCAAAGAGCATTTTACAAAATTACAAAACAATGTAAACACCATCCGCTGGAGAGTAGAAGAAAAAAAAAAACAGCTGCAAGGTATTGAAGAAGGCTGAAACGTCGTCTTCTTGCATAGTTTCCTAAAGTTCTCTTCTTAGCTGAGAAGGAGGCTTTTGTGGAATGAACCCTTTCTGAAGAAAAGCATATCTAGTTTCTGATCTGAGTGTCAGGTGACATAATAGCTGAACCAATGGAGGAGACAACAGAGATATAGTCTTTACTCCTGGATACATCTGACTGAATTTGGCATATTGGTGAACTGGGCGGAGCCCTGTAACTGAGGGTAGTTGGAAAAGCATGGGATTGAGAAACAAACAAGACAGAAACTCTAACTTTGAGAGAAGAGAAGGCGGCAATGGAAGATTAGAGCTCATCTGCAAAGGTCATTCCAAAGGGGAAAATGGAAGATGTGGAGGGTGCAAAAAAGTGATGCTGAAGGAACCTAACAGTGATGGGATGTTTCTTGGGAACAATGACTGTAATTAGGTGGTTAGCCATGTGTTGGAATGAAAGATGAGAAGAATATGAGACTGAGGGCCAGAACAAGTAGTGGTTAGTATTACAGTGTTTCAGGAAGTCTATGGGGTTGCCAGGACTGCGGGAAGCCTGAGGATAATGATCAAAATCCAATGCCCATCCTAGAAAAGAGTGATGGATGCTAAAGCAATACAAGAGCACAAGAAAGTGGAAAAGGAGTTTCCAGAAGGCAACATGATTGGCTTTGGCCCCCAAAATCTCAAGATAGTGGGAGACCACCCTATCCCAGATATCTGAGTGAGGAGAGATGATAAGCAGAATGAGATTTTGACTGAGCTCTATCACGTGTTTTCCTTTCAAAACTGCATCTTGGATCTGAAGGAAGCCCAAAGGATAGTGGATGGCATAAACTGGCAAACCTGGCACTGACACACCAGTAGAATCAAAGATGGAGATTGGCAGAATGAAAAAGCTGCAGCTATAGGGCCATATGAAAAGCCTAGCATGCAAGACTTGGCTCCTCTTTTTCTTTTTTGCTCTGAAAAGAGTGAGTCTTTTAGCAGGTTTTATATGTACATTGAATTATTTTCTTGGTGCTGATGGTAAAATTGCAGAAATCTTGGGATTGACTGATTTATTATATCAACTTAAAGAGCCACCCATCTTGCAATCAGGATTCTGGGCAGCGAACAGAAAATTATTGGCAAAAGGAGATCTAAAATGTTCTTGAGGCTGGACATAAGAGGCACCTGGTAACTTTTGAGACATGGTGAGAATTTTGGAAAAAGACCATAATAGTCTCAGAATTGGCTGCTCTAAGAGTTTGCTCCCTAGGAGTGGCTTGTAAGTTAGAGGGGGATGTCCACGGAATCTGTTTTGTTGCCACCTGGCAAGGCTTACAAGAGTACCAATAGAAGAGAATATATGTAGCTCAGGGTTGAACTGTGGATCCTTTGGGGTTCTCTGAGCTTGGTTGTTTTCTTGCAGACATTTCATTACCTGACCAGGTAACATCTTCAGTGCTAGAAGGGAGTGGGGTTTGCTCTCTATTTATATGCAGTAGTCTGCCTTGCCAGTGTTGGAGGGAGGATTGTTTTTTTCCTTGGTAGTTCCTAGATTAGGCTGTTGTTTACTGCTTGACTGTTTGTCTGAGTTGGTAGTTCCTTGATTAGAGTGTTGTTTACTGCTTGA